GTAGACTGTTGCTGTACTGCCACGTTTTTGTCTGTTACCATACCAGAGCAAACAGTATAATGGTATGTGGCCACCTGGAGCTAAAGGTATTTTATGGACATGTACTTAAGAGAGGGGCTTTTGCCTTTCTTTTCTTTAATTCAGAGTTCAAGAGTAACATTAAGAGGTTGAATGGGTAAATGGGATAGTTTAATAGATTTGACAGCTATATTATAAGTCTTCAGTGAGGTTTACTTATTTAAAAGTAAAGAAATCTGGGCTGTTATATTACAAAGGTGACTCTATTTTCTTTATGTGTTTAATTATGCCATGGAAACTATTTTATTCAAGGTTTTCCTCTCTTCTTTACTCTATTCGTCCCCACTCTCCTACCTATATTCCTCCCACCCTTTATACGTTCTAGTACTTTTGGCATGTCTGATGTCTCACAGCTCTCATTTGTATGCTCCCTCCACTCTACTAGATTAATAGAAGTAAGCATTACTCTTCTGTCCTTGGCTCTTTTATCTTTCTCTACAAAATAGCATAGCATCGATCATAGTCTCGCCCCGCCCCTTCGCTACCTGCGGAGGAAGGGTCTGGAGACACTCACGGTAAAAATGTGTGCAAAGAAGTCCACGTGGTTGGCTCTACATCATGTGACAGAGGAGACCAGATCAGTCAAAACAGCTGAAAGAGATACTTTGCAGCTAAAAGAAGACAAGGATAAAGCCTCTTGGACATCTCTTGCAGATTTGAGAGCAGCAGCTCTTTACAGAGCGCTATAATATTTACTTTTTATTGATGACGTTTTATTGTAAACACGTGACATTATTATTACATCATAAGTGCCATGGCGTCGTTGTAGTAAGCAGCACGATAATGCTGCTCTTAAACTTTGAGAAAGAAGTCCAGGGAGTGTTACAGGCTCCTTCCAGCCTTAATTTGGTCCTCATTCTTCTTCTTTTGTCTTAATCAGAGCTCTTCGGTCACATGACTACTTGTCCTACACGTGGTTCGAGCAATCTGATCATAGATACTACCAGGAGTCCATAATGTGGGGTTAAGGAAAGAGTAGGAGTGTGAAACGCCCCCGCTTTAATGAGCTTTTCTGTCTGCCTACCAGAGCTAGCGGATATACTATTTTTAGAATGATTATTATAGTTATTAATCAATAATTAATGACCACGCCCAACACGTTAATCATTCTTCTACCTATTATACTCCTATACAATGGCGCCAAAGAAGAAGCCAAGAAGGGAGAGCTTTCAGAAAAAGGATCAACAAGCTATGGTAAAAAGTTTTCTTGAGTGTGAAGTAGAAGTAGTGGAAGAAGCAGTGCAAAAGTTGGATGATGGCTGTCATCTGAAATATAAAGCATCCAGGAG